ATCTAAGCTTTCTTTTGACAGTTAAATTATTAAATAGCATTAAAGAATATCGATATATAAGCTATAAAAGTTATTATAATTTATTTAAAGATTTCTGCCTATTTCTTTTACACAGCCTATTTCTTTATATTTTAAAAAATTATTAACATATTAATAATTATAAATTTTTTGAATTTGTGAATATAGTAAATGCGGGTAATTATATTTATTTATATCTTTCAAATTGGGTTAAGACTTTATTTATAATATATTTATTTTTAGTAAAGGGAAGTCAACCTATTGATTATATTGAAATTCCTGATGATGAAATACAATAAATTAAAATGATTCAGAAAGGAATTTGATATTGAAAAACGTAGAACAAAAAAGAAATTCTTGCTGAAAGTTTTCAAGGGCGATTTTAAGAATTTTTATGTATCAAGTAGAATTATTATTATTTGATTAAATATTATTACAGCGCTTTTCAAATTACTGTGATCAGTGATTTTCATACATCACACCGGAAATCAGAAATCTATAATAAATGCAAATCTGTGATTGGCTAAAAATATTTTTTATCCAATCATGTATTGGCATTTTTTCCAGATTTCAGATTCCCGGTGTGATGTATGAAAATCACTGATCACAGTAATTTGAAAAGCGCTGTAATTAAGCTGTTATGTAGTTAAAATTTTTAGTTTATGTGTCCTAGTTGTTGATCAAATTCCAGTTCCAATTCATTTGATTGGATGGTCTAGGCAAGTAACGGTCAAGGGAACAGTCCAGTCCAGTAACAAGCGTTGTCTACAGGGTATATCTATTTAATTATTGAAAAATCTTTGCCACAGCAAATCTGAATCGTGTAATCAACATCAAAATCTTTAGCATAGAGTTTTTTTAATGCATGCCTTGTATAAATTTTTGCATATCATCTTAGTAAAATATTTTTGTCTTTCATTAAGAGTTTACTCTTTTAGGTATTTATTATTAACTGAAGTTCGATATTTGTATCATCCAAAATTTCTAGTTTCATGAACGTTAATTTCCTCAAAACTTAAATCTACTTTAATCGGTAATTTTCTTTCTACCCATATGCTCTAAAACATTGAATTATAAATTATATTGTTGGTCAGTTAATTACAAACAGTATTTGAAACTCAACTTTTAAATTATTTGTGAACCTACAACTAAATAAAAAGTAAATAAATAAACTATTTGTGGATTATAAATATTTTAATTGTGCATATAAATATTTAACCAAAATTCAAGCAAATTTGCAATTTTATATGAGGAATCCGCATATGCAATTCAGTTATAGTTGCAAAATTTAAAAATTTGTTGCAGCCTGCAGACTTCGCAACCCAATTTAAAAAATTCTTAGAAAGGTATCATTTAGCTAAATTTTAACAACTAGTATCCAACCAATTAAAATTATGTGACTTAAAATGTTATGTTATTTATGAGAATGCCTAGTGCACACGCTAAAAAAAAATGAATACTACATAACCTGCCAAATGTCAAAGTTTGACAAAGAAATAATTATAAGCAAAGTTAAGCTATTAATAAAATAAAATATTACTTACACTTTATATATTTTAAGTAATAATAATAATTTATTTGAGACTTTTTATATCATATAAAGCTGAAGATTTTATTGGCTCGAGTTGGCTTGTATATTAGTTTTTAAAAAGCCAATTACGGGAATTATATATAGTCAATAAGCTATTAACAGCTCTCAAATATTTAAGTAAATAAATATAGCTTCTTGTCATATGAAGAATTTATCTGATTCAAAAGTTTTCTCATTATAAAATTTTTTAAGGCACAGCATTGAAGTTAAAATTAATAACCTAAGAATCATTGAGTAAAATTTTTTGTAATCAACGTTAGTATGCAAGCTAAAAAAAAAAAAGAATGCTTGTAAGAATTTACAATATTATAATATCGAGTTTTAGTTCTCTGAAATTTACATTATTAATAATTAGCTTTCTTGTAGTAAGAACAAGATGAACTAGTAAATTATATTGTTTGGAATCTTTCTGTAACTCAAGAACAGCTAACTGCTAAATTGTTCACTATGAATTTGGGTCTAAACGAAATACTACAATTCATTGTATTGGTCTGAGATAATAGCAGCTATTCATTCCCGATTTTACGTTTTCAAGGATATGGGCGTAATGAAAAACTTTCGTCACTTTCGGGAAAATCACGTTCATTAAACATTAACGATATGATATGTCGACAAATACTAATTTTTAATATTAACACCTATTCATGTAATATGTTTATTATTTTATGTCCAGAGTCTTGTATATTCTTGTCAAGATTTATTTGTTAACAAGAACAGCTTTTCCCATAAACTTTCGCATAAACTAATCACACTAAATATATTGGGCAAGTATTCAAACGAAGTTTAATAGTGTTAGCAGACATTATGATAAAGTTATCCGCAGAAAATATATGATATTACATATAATATAAAGAAATATTTTTTATATACGTACCGATCATACCGAATCGGCCGAAAAATCGTTCGGCAAATTTTTTATCAAGTGTTTCAGGAATTATGAAAACAACTGTAATACTCAAGATTCTGATTATGTTCTTGCCCATCAATTATTTATCCTCTTTAAAGTATGATGTTTTTTTTTTCTTAACCTTTTTGCTTAAATAGTTTTTGGTTAGATTATCTCTAAACGTATACATCAGCGCCAAGCATTTAGAAGACATAAATTTAGGGGTTTTATTATATTTATATAATCTTCTATGTAACAAAATTCTCACGTCTATTTATTTCTTCCAAACTGCTTAAAACCATATTTGGATACTATGCTGTGAATTAATATGTTTCTATAAATTATTCTTTATATATTTGAGTGCTGCCAAGACAAAACCTGTAAGCAAATATTTGAGGTATTAATAAGGCGAGTTTAATCCTGGGAAAATTGTGATATTACGTATTAAATCATTGTATAAAATTTGTATACAATGATTCTAATACGTAATTTTTCCAGGATTAAATGATACCTCAATATTTGCTTACCGGTTTTGCCTTGACAACACTCATTTATAATGTTATTAATATACATCCTTGTACCTAATAAATTCAATGTTGGTATTTTATCTAGCTGGTAAAGTCTTAAGGTTTATTATTTACGAATGATTTATTAGATTTTGGTCGGTTTTATTACATTGACAATAGTATACGTAAAACAGTATAAAAATTTTTTTTTTTCCTCAGATAAAAGGAATTTTTAGAAACTAGCAATCAACAACAATACGTTCATATAGTCTCAATGTAACATAATCATTCATTCCTTTTTTAATATAATCATAATTATACAAATACGTATACCACTTTACACCCACGTAATTCAAATGCTTGTTTCGTATGCAGAATTCGACTATTGCTTTAGTATTTTTCTCGTAATAAATGTCAGAAATTAACAGCTTTTTTAAAGGTGCATTTCAATGATTGAGAAAAATATCAATAAATGAATGAAGCCAATCATCTCTTAAATCAAGATATTGCAATGTTCATGGTAATATTTCTGCTAACTGTTTAACTTGTATTCATATGATATGTCATAAGTGCATGCTAACGTGAGAAATTAAATTACCAATTAGCTTTATAAATTGTGTGGAAAGTTTGAAATTCGAAATGTTGAGATTGGCAGAATGATTTAAGAGTAACAAATTTACTCCTCCAACTGGATCGAGTTTTAGTCGATGTAATAATGAGCCAGACTTTTGCAAAAACTGTACCATGTTTGACGTATCAATCGAGCAACTGGTAAGTTCCAAAGTGTTCAAGTTATTCTCTAACATTTTAACATTAGTGCAATCTCTGATACGAAAAATTGCACTTTAACCACTATGTTACATGCACAATTCTCTATTGTAACATCTTGTAATGATTTTTTTTTTTTGACTATTTAAAGCTGAAATGACGCCGTAGAAGTCAATGGAAGCATGTTTTCCAACTAATCTGAATTGCCTAAGTTGCTCTTGTGATTTAATAATGCATATAATAGCATGAAATAATTGTGGCCCATAATCAGAATAAAGTCTGATAAGTTCTAAAGAATTAATTTTCGTAGTACTTTTTGCCAAGATTATTAATAATGCGGTACCACTTTCAATGCTGATGATATCTGATGCTGCAAAACATAAATCTTGGAGCCGTGAGAAAAATTGCTCATTTTGTTCTAATGAATAAAAGTTCTCTGGCTTAATTTAAAAAAAAATTAAATATAATTTATTCAAAGTAGCGCCACTTTCAATAAATAATTTAAATAGTAAATTAATTATGTGACACATTTCTGAGTTAGAAGATGAGTCTTGGTACAAGTATGTATATGGATTCGATTTATCAGACTCGAGAATAACCCATTCTTTAACTTTACGTTCTAAACGAGATAGATGAAGAACTTTAAAAAAATTTGCATAGTTAAATAACGGTTCGGAAATTTTCTTATTTATCCCGCACTCTTCTAAAACGAGTTTTCGTGTGCGTCAAGAGACGAAAAATACTTAGAAAAGAATAAAAGCTTTTTTTGATTGAAAATGGATCTTGCCAAAGAATAGAATTGTCATTTTGCACCAATGTCGGTTCACAAGTGCGCGCGAGTATAAGGAACCAAATTCATTATCTAAATTATTAAAAATAATTTCCATTAATTCGGGCATATCGCCCATAAATAAAAGAAACTATGTATGTTGTTCAAGACCTGCAACTGTTTTTTTTGAAATACTCCATGCCTCCTGTCATTAGTTTTGTGAGTATATTCGACTTCTTAAGTGATATCTCATAGTTACAATGAATATAAAATATATAGCAATGCTTTTTTGATTCGTATAATAGTTTTAGATATGCGAGCCTAATATAAAAATTTAAGAATAACAAATATAGATGGAGAGATTAACATTGGGACGAAAATTTTAATTTAGAACTGCTAAATAAATAATATGATTGTTAATTTTGTTGAATATTTGATATATGAAATGAAAACTTTTTCATCAGGAAATTTGAATCCTGATTATAATCGGTTGCAAGCATTTAATCGATTATGATCGATTGACTTTAAGCGATTATTATCGGTATGGGTGACAATTATCGATTTAAATCATAATCAAATTATATAAAATTGATTAAAAGCGATTGAATTATTGCGCTTTGCAAAAAGATGTGAACACTGCAGATCATTTTTTCATGAGAATCAGAGATTTTATAGATTTTTTGAGATTTAAGAATTAAACTGATTTCAAAGAAATATAAACGTAACCAATCGAAAATATAAAGTAACAGACAATCTGGAATCTTAGCAATTCTCAGCCATCATCATCACTGCTATAAATCGGTTATAATCGATTATGTTTGTGATGATTATTGATTAAATCTAATGATTTTAATCGATTATAATTAGGCTTCAAAACTTCCTGATGTAGATATATATAGTAGCACTGAAATTTAAAATTCATATAATAGTGTTGAATTTTAAAAAGAAAAGAATAAAAAAAATAAATAAATAAAAAATAAATAAAAAAAATAAAAAAAATAAATAAAAATAAAATAAATAAATAAATAAATAAAAAATAAATAATAAAGACTAAAATAAAAAAAAAAGAATAAAAAATAACAGCAATAAAATTTTTTGTTTCCATTTTTAATAATAATAATATAAGTGATTCTCTAATTAATTAATAAGGTTTTTTTAAAAAATTAAAATTTAATTTTCAATAAAATAATATCAAAGTTATGCTTGCCGCCCAAATCCCAAACTATTATAGTTTGTCACGCCCAAATCCCAAAATTGGTATAAATTAGTCTCTAAAACTTTAGAAATATTTTTTATCTAAACAAATTAAATAGATTCTTATAGTTACATAAATTATATTTACAAAGTATTAAATTTATTTTTTCATTTAATTTTTTATAAATAACAATTGTTTCTTGTGGGTTTGGGATTTGTACTAATTTGGGCAGCAAGTATAATCGAAGTCCCAAATTTTATTAAAAATTTTGAAACGCATATATCTTGTATTTGATCTAACAATAAATGTATATAATACTTCACAATTTTTTTTTTATTACAGCGACAACTTGTACCCTAATAAATTTCTTGGCTAATGCTTCGTTTGTGATATTTTGAGGTCTTAATGGCATGGTTAAATTTTGTAGGATACGGATACCAGCATTATGTAAAAATCGAAAGGATAAATTTGAGCATCACGTTTATGTTTAACATTCAACCTTTCGATAATTTCAACTTTAATTAATTTAAAGGTATTAAGAACCAAATATTTAAGCCTTTGGTATTCATGTTAACCTTGAAAAATAATAATGGATGAATGGCACGAAGCATTAGGGTTGCGCCTCAACTAATAAAATCAAACATAGTATGAATTTCGGATTTATTAATGGTTAAATTTCAATACTATTGCTAATCAATTTTTTCGACAATTTAGATTAGATAATAATAAAAATAATTATCAAACTAAATTTATATTTTTTTAGCACGAGTATCTAACAAAAGTACATAAAATTTTTTTTTAATTTGAAGCTCACAACTATCTCTACATGATAATAAAGCTACTTTTTTTAAATAGTTTATCAATTATTTTATATAAATATCTACGTAAATTAGATCACCTGTTACGAAACCGTCGATGTTACATGACTGTTATTTCACCTGGCGTGCAACATACAAAAAAATTATTTTACAATACCAGATTTATAATTGTCCGAAGCGTAGCGAGGACTTTTATGTCTACTGCAAACCATGCAATGTCCGTTGACAGCACCCAATCAATTTTTCATATTAGGTTACACTGCATATTTCTGCAAAACAACAAAACACGTGATGCCCAATCAGATTGTTGCTTCAGACATCTATCGAATCAACCAGGGCGGCCATCAAATTTACTGTCACATGAGCCACGCCATTGCCGCAGCACCCGCTGCAGCTCCACGTTATCATACGTTCTGATCTGATCATCCATCTGGTACAAATAGATGTAATAGATATTAGAAATTTTTTTTTTTTATTTAGTTTACATGAAATAAATTGTCTTTTACCACAATTTCTTTTTAAAGGTTTCGATATATTAGTTTGATTGGGCAAAACTGATTTAATTTATTTCTTTATTTCTTTTTCAGAACTTGTAAAAGTGTTATTCATACATAGGTGTCAAATAAAATACAATATTTTTGAACCCAAAAGTTCAAAGGTAAATGACAATAAAAATATTTAAATACATTATAGTTTTTATAGTTGCATTAATTATTTATATCCTCCTGATCAACTGTTATATCTTCTACTAGGGCCAGTTTATGATTATTCACCTCTTCTGGAAATGACAGATACATCAGATATGGCTTTCTATTCTCCGGGCCCCAAGTCAATTGCTGATACTTCTTTTGCTCTACTTCCTATACCTCCTTTTCTATTTGCAACAACTTACTACACTCCATAATGGCCTGAACATAATTCCAATTATTAGCTAATTTTTCTGTATAGGCCCGTTTGAATGCCTGTTCAAACAATGACCAATTGGATTTAACGAAAATGCAAGCATCATCTTCATAATTTTCAAGATCATTATTACTGAAACACTATTGGCATCATAAGTTTCAAAACATTTAACAGACATTTCAGATGGGACAGACAAGGTGCTTCATCATTTAAAAATCCTTTATGACAAGGAATGGTGGTGTAGTATAATGTTCAAAATTACTTCTAATTAATCTTCGACGAACTCTGTTAGATAGATTTACAATTCTCTGGACCAAGTGTTTACATAATAAGAATCGACTACTAACAAAGGCAGGACAGTTACAAACCCAGCGAGTGGTATCGGTAAAGTATAATCTGATTTGGTCTGCTATTTCTGTATTGTTGCTCCATTTTCTCTTGCCTTTGCTAAACTTATTACATATTTCTTTTCGCTGTTCATCATTTGCACCAGCATAGTTTCATTCTCTTTTAAAACCCACCATGGCTCCACTGCACTACTCAAAATCTGAAAGAACTGTTCTTTTTAAGCTGGAATTACTTCTTTTAAAAATGTCTAGAGAAGTAAATCTAGCCTAGGTCTATTAAAGCGGTGCAGGTAACACCACTTCATAACACCCCAATGTCCTTCAATTTTTATCGTAGTTTTGCTAAAAGGGATGGTAGGTTTGGCTGATTGTGCCCACAAATGCCATCACTGAGAAGAGTATCAATTTGTCCAGAGATAGGCCCACAATAGCTGCAATGAATTTGCAACACAAAACTGATACATCTCTTTTACAGCATTTTGTCTTATATTTTCTGGGAATAAAGTGTTTTCTTGATCATCAACTGGTATAAGCAGATGCAGATCAAAATGTTTTTGTATCAGGTTTAGAATTGTCTCTTGATGAACCTTTAGATAAAGATAAGAATTAAAATTTAATTAGTTATAACAAATCAAAAAGTTTTTAATATTATATTATTTAATTAACCTAATTATTTCAAATGATTAAATTATAAGTAGATTTTAATCCTTACCTGTGGGTATATAATATATGTATTTGGATTTCTATTATCTTCACTTGGATAGAAAGTTGGATTAATAAAATCGAATTCATGGGCTGCTCGATTTGCATTGTAATTTACAGTTAATAGTCCAGTACTACTTGATCATTTAGCCTTCTCTTTAAGCTTAATTTTTAGGGCTTGGTTTATATGCCAAGCACATAATTGCACTACAGATAACCCCCATACTGCTATTGCTGCATTAATTTCAGCAAAATCCTTGTCCGTAAAAACAAAGTTTGGGTTGATATTATGCTTTTATAGCTTCAAAGAATTTTTTAATATTTCACTATATTTGTCTATTCCAGTACTCTGATCTGCTGCCTTTGCCATATTGAGCACCAGATAAACAATCAGAAATCATGTTCCATCAATGTCTGCTATTATGCCATACAATTCATAATGCCCCCTCGCAGTTCAGTATGTTGTATCTACATAAATTTTATTAACATTGATATTAAAATTATTAATTTCATTAAATAATGGTGTTGTAAATGCGATAACAGAATCTGATATATTGAGACACTGATGAAAGCCTTGGTCATTGTACTCATCAAGTAGTATAAAGGCTGATTTAACTAGATTTTCATGAAATAAAAAAGCCTTCGACCTGCAACAGACTTCCAGAAATAAATTCACTTTGGTGAATATTTTGACATATCAAAACCTTGATGCCGCAAGTGATTTATAAGATCAACAGTAGTAAGGTGTAAAAGTTTTTCAATTTTCTCTTTAATTCAATAGGCATTTCAAAACAAATATCTGAACGTGGATGGAGGGATCCATGGTAAATATCCACTGCTATGACGCCAAGGATCATATCAACTTTCACTTTAATTTTGCCCTTGCAATTGTAACGAATTTGTCGTTTGCGGTTGGAATCTTAATACTCTCTTTTTGCTTCATATGATTGACAACATATATAATAGAACTTGCCAACCTTATCACTGAATTTTTTGGACATTTTGGCATATAGGAAACTATAATTGTAATTATAAATAAGTATTTATTAAGATAAGTATATATTAAGTTGATTGCCACAGCTAATACTGAATGATAACTGAGGATTTGAATAGTATTCATATTTCAATTTTTATGCATTTTGACTATTAATTCACAGTTCGATTACTGAATTATGACGACATTATTCATGCAAATGATCTAAATGTCGCAATAATTACAGTAGTTTGGGTCTATCGAAAAAGTATTATACTAATTATACTAAGATAAAAAAAATAAGAAACAAAAAAAAAAAGAGATGGAATACGAAAATAGATTAAAAAGAGGAATCGAAAAAGGAATTAAAGAAAGAAATAAAATGCGAAAATGAATTCAGATTTTTAAAAATCTATATTTAAGTATCAATCAATTCTAATTTTGATATCGGCTATGAATTGAATATTTATAATAATACTTACTTTCATGAATAATTATCACCACCTTCTATTTCAGCAACTACAAGAGAAGCAACCTCCTTTGCTATCATGTCAGAAGTTATATTAACGTTCACTAATAGTCGAGTCTGATAAACTGTGTTGACAGTCAGATTTTTGAGTTCATGCTCGATTAAGTCACCCACATCAAGGCAATTAATTTCAGTATGTTCAATATTATCAGTGTCTATATTATGAGTATTATTATGGTCAATATTATCAGTATCTATATTATGAATATTAATATGGTCAAAATTTTTAGGTTCGACCAATTCAGTAGTTGCACTAGGGACTATAGTTGGCAATTTATTTTTCTTTCTTCACTTACTATCTTCTTTGCATACTTTGCAAGTTTTGTGGCGACCACCTCCCCAAATGAATTAATCTTCAGAATGGTCTTTACTGCATATAGTACAAGTCATCACGTAAATTGCTTGTGGATAAGTTTTATGTTAATGGGTTTTGGATGCTTACTATTCAGGTATTTAGTTTTAATATTTGTAATATTTTCTTTTTCCAACATGGATTGCACTCAATATTTATCAGAAAGAGATAATTATTAAAGTGACTAAAACTAGTGTGTTCAGACTTACGTGATTTAGAGATTTTTCATTATTTAAACAATAATTCCAAAATTGTGTAAGCCTGACACTCTAACCGAGATGATGATAATCATATGAACAATTGTATACAATATTAAAACTTTTAAACTGAATATTTATTTAAGCTTTTGTTTCTATTAATAAACTCGAGCAATGGGTCTTTGTTTTTATTTTTTTATTTACTTAAATTATCAATACAATAATTTCAATATACAATAATGGTTAGTTCAACCTAATTCATATCAAAAAAATCTTACAAAGTTTTAATAAATTTTATGCAAACAAATAAACAGGTTGATTTTTATCAACCTAATTTTAGTTGAACAAAAGCATTTACAATATTTGGATATTAGCCGTTTTACGTATAGCCACCCAATACTTTAAAATCAATGATTACCAGAATAGTAAGTCAAATTCTAATCTAACGCATAACAACTGCAAATTATAATTGTGATACATCAATTATGTGATGCATAGCTTTAAGGTTTTAACAAAATCATATGCTTCAATCCGTCAAAGCCTTTTACAACAATTACAAACTTATTTATCTGTTCAAACTTGAGTAATCTTAAAGATTTTAGATTGTTAAAACAATAAAAAAATTTTTGAAATTGCGCAGATCTAGAAAATTATTTTAAGCGATGCAGTAACCTAACATTTAAATAAAATAGCTACACGATTGAGAAAATTCAAATCAACTGTCAAATAATTAGAACAAACTATCTCAATCATTTTATTCAATTCAAAGATGATCTCTCTATATGCTTTACCTGACGATACAAGTACCAAACAAAAGTTTTAACTTAGATTCAAAAATATTAATTGAGTAGATACAATCAAGCAATTTATTGAATTTTTTACTATGCTTACAACTAAGAATTGCTTAAAAAAATGGAATATAAATTTAATGTACAGTACGGAAGTTGTATAGTAGTTGTATATAGAGAATTTCGTCATCTTGACGAAAATTATCATTGAGAAATTAAAATTAAATAAAGTTTTTTATTAATAACGATAATAAATAACAAAACTTGCAAAAAAAAAAGGCCTAATAAGCAAATTATATAAGTTCCGGGATAGTTTTTTCCACACGTACAAATATTCCTAGTAAATTAAAATTTATCATTCACTAAAGTTGTATAAAGCCTCTAAAAAGGTCGAAGTTGCTTTTTATAGAGTTTCAAAAAAAAAAAAGATAATGAGAAAATACAATAATTAAAATAATTAAAGAAAAAATAAATTAACGCGATAAGCCGAGATCTAGTGTTATTTAAAAAACTTTGCTAAAAAAAATTTTGCAGTTAGAGTTTGCTATTAAGTTAGATTAGAAAGTGCTTTTTAATACAAAAATTTCGCAAGGAAAACTTTTTTGTTAGTGCACAGAAAGCAGTTTCATAGGCAAGACGTTGAGTTATGATAAATTTTTTTGATTTTTTTCATTATACCGGATCTTGGAATATGATTGGCTGGCTGTTGCAACTGCGGAATGGTGCGACTCATATAACAGTAAATTTGATGGCCGCGCTGTTTGATTCGACATCTATTAGCTTCTGATACCTAGTCTGTAATCATAATATGTGCATATATACATACTAGTGAAATTGCTGTATTGTAAAATAATTTATAAGTTGCACCAGAATTAGATTGTTTTGACAAAGATTGGCATGCATGATGCTTATAAATAAAAAATTTTTTTTATTGTTTCTCATTTTTTTAAATGTATAATAGGTAGGGAAAAGCTGAAACTCTTTGTTTATATGGTAAATACATGCTGTTGGTTATTTTTTATTACTATTATTTTTTTTAGATGAGCTTCCGTGACATTAGCTTATATTTATATACAAGTAGAGAAAATCTGGAAACTGTTACAGTTATTCTAAGTGTCAAGCTGGACAACAATCAACAGTTATAAACATGTTCGACACTTTGGAAAGTTACTTTTTTTTGCTTGATATTTATAGGTCAAATAGGAAAAGCTGAATAGAAGGTTGCCTACAGTTTATTTAAGGCATTCATTAATTTCTACTGATTCAAGAAAAAGAATTGGTTATGTAGTTTCCTTAATGATATAAGCTTTTTGTTTAATGCTATGACTTTTTGTTCAATTTCCTGTTTAGCTTATGTAATATACATGTAGGAAAAAGCTAGAAACTTTGTTTATAGTGATTCCTGAGTGTCTAGCTAAACTCTTAGTCTTATTGATAAACGTGTTCAACACTTATAAAAGCTTTCTTTGCATGATAATATTTATAGACAAATAGTGTCATGGGCTAAAAGTGATCGATATTTTCGAAAATCAAGAGGTAAAGTGAATCAATAGAAATAATGAAGTTGAGTCAGTGCATGGTTTATTATAATTATGAATAGTTGAACCTTTTTACTAATGATAAAATTAT